CAGTTCCTCTAAAGCACTTCTATTAGGGAACATGCAGAGCTTAAAAACTGGTCTTAGATTTTTCTGAAATTGGGTAAATTATAGATGCTGTTTAGTTAACATTGTTTTAAAGCCATTTAAAAAGAGGTTGTGAGACTATAGTGAACCTGGACTTTGGATGATTTGGATGATTTAGGAGTTTTAGCATTTCTTAGATTCATCCTGATTTGAACACAAAAAGTCTGTTCTCCTAGTTTGAGGTATGGTCTATATTAGAGATCATTTTGCAGAGGCTTAAAAATTGAGGTATGTGAATTTACCTTAACTTTTGAAATAGTGGAAATAGAATGATTAGATTAAGAATAAATGTGTCATAGTCCAAACTGATCAACTTTTGTGCCAGCTGGGTAAAAATGTTGTGGTTGAATCTGTGTCAGCGATGTTAGATGCAGTTTTCAAAGGAGACTCAGCTCCTACAACTTCAGCATCAGAGAGCTATAAATATATGTTAGCCACTATTTCTGATCTCTCCAAAGATCTTAAATCCTGATAAAAACATGTTCTTAAAATCTTTTCTCAGGCAAATGAATGAAAACCCCAGAGATCTTTAATTTTTCAGTAAAACTCCAGGGTAATAAAACTATGTGTGTTTAAAGAATTGCCATATTTATGCAGGGAATTAATCTGGTGTGCTCTGTAAGCGTGTATTTCATGTATTCATCTTAATATTTGTATTTTTTATGGAAACAGGACTCTACTGAAAGGACCAGCAAGACCGCACATGATGGTAGAGTAAAATGCCTCCTAAGATAACGAGGAGGGGGAGAGAAATGCTGTGCTGCTGCATTTATTTTCTGTAAAATGGAACTTGTGAAGGAGACAAAAGGTGGAACCGTAGCTCCAGATAGGAGTATTCATCCTCCAGCTTCTTGCATTATTCATTACTTTGTACTCTCGAATTACATGAATATGCTTCGGTGTTAGAAAACTTGCAGAGAAAGGAAACATTAGGTAAATTTTATTCTTTCTGTTGTTGTTTTGGTAATGATGCAGCTAATATGGCCATCTCTTCGGCCATCTCGCAATGGTCAGGCTTTGCTGCAGGCCTCAAGTCTGCAGGACTTCTGACATTAGCCCAATATATATTTCATAACCCAAAAATGTGAGATTAGATCGCCAGTAACATAATTTCACAAAATATAGAAAATTGCTCAGAAGTAAGGCATGATTGTAATTTAAGGGAAATGGTGCAGATAAATCCACTTTAATGGATCTGTTTAGTGTATGCAGAAACCTATGTACTTCATTATTTATTCTTTTTGGCTGGCTGAACTTAGAAATGCAGGACTCTCCTCTAGTTTTGTGGTTCAGTAACGTTTGGTGCACAATCTCTTAGTTTCTCTTAAATAAAGGTAAATAATTTCAGTCCTGGAAAGGTGAGCTCTTATTAATAATCAAGGCCATTCACACTCCTTTCATTTTCTCAGTGCATCTTGTATTTGAGTTAGCGAAATTGTCTCAGAGCGTTCTGAAATCCCTAGATGAATTTTCATTTATAGAAAACTGTGCCAACACAGGTAGGTGAAAAGCTGATGAAGCAGCAATGATCATCATTTGCTAATGGCAAGCGGATGAGAAACAGGCTGGCCTCTAAGAGCATCAGTAAGATTGTCCTATTGAAATAAGGCAATATCTGTTTTTTCTAATGGAAATTACTACTCCAAACCAAAATGCCTTTGGAGAAAAAAACAAACAAACAGAAAAACATTGAACAAGCAAGCAGAAAACCTCTTCCTATTAAAATGATAATTTTGATGGCAATAGGGGATTGGTCTTGGTGAGCACTTACTAAGACTCAGCAGATGCTGAGAACTGTAGTTGTACAAACAATGCTTAAAGTTGTCTTCAAACTCATTAGCACACATTCCTTTGAAATGAAGATCAAAGCTGAGGTTTGGGACGATTTTAAAAGAAGGCCTGTGAGTAGTTCTCAACTGAAGAGTTGTTCTGGTGGGTTGCCTTGCCTAACAGCCAAACATCCCCCCTGCTGCTTGCTCAGTCCCCAGTGGGGTGGGGAGAAAGCAGGATGAGAGAGATTTGTGCTGAGATGAAGACAAGGAGATTACTTACCAGTTAATTGTCGTAAGCACAACTGACTCCACTGGGGAAGAATAATTTATTTTATTGCCAATTAAAATAGATGTGGACAGTGAAAAACAAAGACAAATACTGTAATGACAGCTCTTTTTCCCTGCTGTCCTCCCAGACTCAGCTTCACTCCCACCTTCACTCTTCTCCCAGGCAGTGCACAGGAGATGGGGCGTTGAGGTCAGTACAGAGCAGTTCTTCTTTGCATCTCCTTCCTGCTTAGGTTTTCCCTCTGCTCTGCTGTGGGCTCTCCATGGGCCACAGATATTCAGGAATATCCATCTGCTCCTGCATGGGCTTACCACGGGCAGCAGTGTGGATATCTACTCCACCACAGAGCAACTCCTCCTGCTTTGAGCATTGTGGTCACTCTGTTGTTTCTCACGCTTTTGGTTCCCTCCTCCCTTGCTCTATCTTATATGTGTTTCCCCAGAGACCCCATACACGTGGCTGATGTGCTCAGCTGTGTCCCATGGTGGATTCATTGTGAAGATGGCCAGAACCAGCTGTGTCCAGCAAGGTTTTGACACCTAACACCCGTTGTAGATGTCTTCAGGAGAGTAATTCACGTAACTATAGTGATTAGTGAAAATACTGACATTGAATTCCCAAGGGCTAGATTTCTTAACCTTACATTTTAATATTTTACTACTTTTCTTTACCTTACCTGCAGCAAAGCAGTCATGTACAGTGCTGTAGTTATAAGCAGATGCTGTAATCAATCAGTAAGAGCTGCTTTTGTCCTGTTAGGTCAGAAAGCTCCTATGTGAACCCAAAACTGCATTATCATGAATTTATGGGTCTGGAAAGTATTCTAAGAGTTCATCAAATTCTCATTTCACGTAGGATAAATTAGTTTTTTTTTGTGATGCCTGGTGTAGGTTTTGCCTAGTTTATTCCTCAAAATATTCATTAATTCTAAAACTTTTGGTCTCTTCTTATACTTAAGCCATCTTTCCTATTGAATACTTATATCCTCAACAGCAATCGCATGATGATATTTGAGACTTGCTCTGTACACTGTTTGCAAACACAACCTGATAAATACTTAATATTAACCATCAGTAAAATGGTTTTGTTGCCTGGATTCTTCTTTAGCAAGATTAAAAAGAGGTAAGATTGTTCCCCAATGCCTCATCTTCACTAGTATAAGGTACACATTCTGTGTCTTATCCTATCCTTATTGACAGGGGAAAGCTTTAATCATCACCTTTGTAGCCACAACACTTGAGATCTGTTGTGATTTGGCATTACAACGCTATCTAGACTAAACAGATGTCATTCTTTCATATCTTTTTAAAGATGTCCTGTTCGTTAGACTGCTTCTGTGGGTTCATATCTCTCCTGCAGTGTGTTACCCCAGCCAGGGCTGTGCTTATCAGTGGTAAGGGATGAAACTGGAGCAGAGTAGAAGGGCTGGACGTAAGTGCCAACGTGTAAGACAGGTGAAGTATTCACTGGAGTATGATGCTTGTTTTTTTTTTTTGTTTTTTTTTTTTTCTTCAGTTAATAGGCCGTCTTCAGCAAACTAGTTCAAAAGTTGCTGTATTTTCTTACCTTTCCCGGCTCGCTGTCAACAGCAAAGTTATGCAGTGGAGCCTCTCTCCTCCATCACTGAAGTCACTAATGAAAATATTGACACTGAGGCAGGAAAGACCTCTCTGAAATCATCTTTGATATAATCTTGCAGTTTGGCTGTAGCTGCGCTTTAAAAATGGTTTTACAGTTAGCTGTGCACTGGTACTGCAATATTTTAATAATTTATTTGTAAGAGTTTTAAGGTAAGATATATCCTGTATTCTGATATTGCCAAGGCACATTACCTGTCCTGGAAGGATATTAGGTTATTCTGCTGTGGTGGAGGAAGGTGCAACAGCAAGCAAAAAGCACTATTGTCTTCTTTCAGGAGCCAAGCGATGAGGAAAGTGAGTGACAGATGCAGGGATGTTGAAAAGAAATTGAATCTGCTTTTTGTCTGGTAGAGAGACGTTGCAGCACTTCCTCACTGTAGGTTAGTGGGGAAAGGGGGAACGATTGCCATTTCCCCGTCTGGGCATGACTGGAGTCATTAGCAGGGCAGAGAGGAGGGCACCAGAAAAGGGGAACCGTCAGCTCTGCAGGCTTAAGCAGGGTAAGGCTGCTGCTATTTTGGATTTTGGTTGTAGCATCAAAACCAAATAGTTCATCCTGACTCAGAGTAAGAGATGCGTGTGGTTTAGATGGTCTCATATTCTCTAACAGCACCAGAAACCTATGCACAGACAAGAGGGGGCCTTTTATCTGAGGTGAACTAGTTTGTGGACTTCAAGGTTAGCGTGGCATCCTGCACTGTGTAGTACTTCTGTAAATATAATGCATGCCTTCGGCTATCATTGTATGCAGGCATAACCAAACATCCAAGCAAGAAATACAGCTAGGCTCTTCTGAGGCTTTTCAGGAAAGCCATTTGAGAAAAAATTCCAGGAGCTGAGGCTGTCCTAAAGTGTAGAACTCTTTTTTTTTTTTTTTAAAGAAGTTGATCAAAAAAAATCCCGCCAGTGGCTTGTGAAAATTCCTACCATATTCTTATAGATTGAGTTCCGTGCTGTGGGCTAAAATGTAATGAAAGATGAAATTTTCTAGGCTTCTGCTTTTCAACTTTGAATACGTTTTATTATTTCTCTATTTACTGGTACTAGTAAAAATTTCTTCTGATAACTTTTCAGAGGAAAGGATGTCTCTTTCATTTGGGGTGATCCTCCACTTAAGCCTGTTACCCAGAATCATTTTGATTAATAAATGTCACCAGTTAGAAATATTACTCAGTAGTGACTAAGACCTACAAGTCTATTTTCTCCTATTCCAAGTAAGTGTTTTTATTTGGTACCTCTTTCAGCTAGTAACTGCTTATCCTTGCAAATGTGATATAGCCAATGAAATTTCTTACAAGAGCTTTCATGAAACAGCTTGTGCTCGTGTATTTAATTCAATATTCTGAAGAAGAACTTTTGACCTTATTTATTTAATCTTTTTTTTTTTTTTTTTTTCCCCCAAGTAAATAAGAAGAGATGTGAGATTGACACAGGGAGTTTGAATGCTCTCAATCTATTGCATTTATTACGTACCAGTTACTTACAAGATATAGTGATTAATGCCAGAAGAAATTATTGCCCACAAGAGCCCTCCCAGCCCTCATCTGGAGGGGTTTGCAGCACACAGTCAGGTTAGTCACAGTCTTTATGGCGCCTTGGGTTTTGGACTGTGGAGGCTGACAGCTCCCATTTGTGGTTAGTTAGATGGAGACATCCAGTGTGTGGCTAGCCCTCGTGACAGAAGTTGTTACTGCTCTCAGCCATCCCAGTAAACCCAACAGGGAAGGATGGCAATTGGAGGTACTGGTGTGTCTTGCCCACAGCAGGATGGATTTAAATCGGTTGTAGTGAAGAATATAGCCATGTAAGTAGATTAAGTGTGTCCCCCCACCCAGAGAGGGTGTGAACGCTAGAAGCTGGTTTCTGCAAGCTATTCTGATGCCAGGTACTCCAAAGATGCCATAACTTGGCATCTAGCTAGAAAAAAAGAGGGAGAAAACCCAAATCAACAAGAAAATTGTAAAGTGTAGTGGGGGAACTAATCATATATAAATAAATATGCAAATAAACACATATAAGTTGAAGAGCAATGATGATATCTTTTCATTATCTGCTTAACATCATATAAAAGCATGCGTTTAGCATTGATGGCATAAGATTAGAAAAAAAGAACTTACTTTCAAGAAGGCCACAGAAACTTTGGGCTGGTATATCTACACCTACAGTGAAGAGGAGGTAGAAAATATGCCTGTAGTGACAAGGGAGGTAACAGGTAATCTGTTCCCACGTTCTGTGATCAGTCTGTTATTTTCTGAACATCCTCTAGTGTTTTTTTCAACAATTTTAATTATAAATTTAAAAGGCTTCACATTGTCATTTGATAGTAAAGCACCAGATTAAGCAGTCTTATAGTTGACTGAAAAAAAGTAAATATAATTTACACAGTGATACCAGAAGGTGCTCTAAGATTAGATGTTTTGCATGAAAACAATGGAAGCAAGCTCAAGATCAAGTTTTCAGAAAGTTGTGCTGTTACCTGCAAAAAGTACATGCTAATACTCTATCTGTAAATGTTACAGAGCTTGCAAATTCTGGGGCCTGCTCTATCATAACTTAATTCTATTGAAAGTATTTCTCACGTGCCTTTAAAAGTAGTAATAGTACAACTCCCTAAATAGGTAGGATAGCACAAATCAGCTCTTTAGTGACCCTGAGGTAGGGATAAGTTGTACCAGTGAAGGTAACATTTTTTCTGTAGAATATTATCCCTCCACATTGTGGGGAGAAACATCTGTTAGGAGTCTTACATACCAATCCTCTCTGCTTCGCATGATCCACAAGCGGGGGGATGTCTTTCCCACAGCACTGCCAGCAGGGAGAGTTCTGCTGTCAGAAATGTTAACCAGGTCGGCTCAAATGCTTTTCTATTTGTTCAAAGTAAAGCAGCTCAATGCCTAAAACTGGTTATGAGCTATCTGAAGTCCTTCCTCCTGGAGAGTGGCAAAAGTGCTAGCAGAGCCTTATGGGTGTCCCCAGGTAGGACAGCCACTCTCAAGGTGCACCTGTGTTCTTGGACTAAAAGGTAAAAAGCTTTGGGGGAAGTCAGGTTATATCAGATTTGTTTCACCTGGCCCAGAAACTATACAAATTGTCCCAGATAATTCCAAGCACTAATGGTATTCACAGGTTTTACCACAAATTCTTGTCTGTTTTCCTCATTCCCTTACCCACCTGCTCTGGCTGGTTGGTTGCGTTAAATGTGCGGAGAGAGAGGAAGAATTTAACAGTGCTTAGCAGAGTGCCTTGTAAGGGAGAGGATGAATATTTAATAGTAAGACACGCAACTAGGACAGGCTTGACAAGACTAAAAGAAGCCTTGCTCAGTGTATCCCATGTGAGGTTTAGAACTTCATGGAGAAAAATATATCCAGAATAAATCCACTCCATTTCTAGTAACTTCGGTCTTTTCAGGGGAAAGTAATGCACCTGTAGTGTTGACTTGATCTTTTTACAGCCTGCCACCAGATGGAGATATTTTCCCAAACAAGTCCACCCAGTTTCTTAAGGAAAGCCCAAGGGTAGTCAAAGTGGTTTCCTTCTTTTGTCACTTAAAATCATCTAATATTAATGACTTGGTACTGGCATTTTATTAAGGAAAACTGTTGATTCATTTGGTGGACTTTGATTTTTACGGTGTTTTTATTTATTTATTTTTTTTACTGGGAGCTGTGAAAACCAGCCTGACACCTTTAGAACTACCTGACAACAAAGGCAGGATTTTTAAAAATTAATTTCAGCTTGTGTTAATTAATTATAGCCTGAGTGGTTGGGCAAAGAGGCGAGAATCCTGATACATTTGTGCATTTGTGTTAAAACTCTTCCTTGATCTTAGGACTTTAATAGTAGAACAAATGAACAGAAATGAGCAGCCTCCCAGGCTGGAGATCCTGAAGTGAATGCATTGAAGTTTAGATACATAACAGGTACATAGCAGGAGCTGAATCCAATTAATTCAACAGTCTCAATTCATTTGAGTTTTGGTTGATAGCAAGTGGCATTTGTTGCTCTCTTCACGTCTTGCAAGTGAAAATCATTAGTGCTATCGTAATAGGCTGACACTTCTGGCAACACCACTGCACCAGCAGCGCAGGGACCTTCTCCTGACCCACTTGACAGAAATCCCAGAAGGGCCAGCCCCTTCGTGTTGGGTAATTAATTAGCTTGCTGGATGGTCCCTCCAATTAATGTATGATTGAGTTGTCTTGGCAGGGTAAGACGTGTCTGTTTGTGGTCGGCATTGTAGACCGTTTTCCTGACTAAAGAAACCACTTGTATGATTTGTGAGTGTTGGAATTGGGCAGGGTTCTCAGGAGCTGCTGAAAGTATCAGCCCCTTGAGCATATTTTAAGCGAACCACGCTGATGCAATCCAAGATCATTAATCAAAAATATATGTAAAGCGTATATTTAAAAATAGGTGGCTAATATTGCTTTGTCTTCCAGAGTCCTGCAGTTTCTCACTTCCCTGCTTTGTGGGTCAGATGCTTTGCAGCCAATTTACATCAATTCCTGGCACTGTTTTTAAAGGAAGCAAGGGGGAACAGTGAGAAGTCTCACTTTCTGCCAACAACAGGAAGTGCATGCTCTTTGAGTCAGACAGCTTGTTTCAGCGATGCCTTTTGTTGAACCAACAAGTTACTGGATGGCGCATTCAATCTGAGGTGTAGTGCTGCTTGACAAATCCCTGGAAAGGCAACATCAGAGGCGTGGGGGGTCAGGCGGAAGGCAGCACGCCATTGCAATGCTCCTTTTTTGAAGGCAGCATTCACTTTAAAGACCAGTCATCCGAGGGAAGAGAGAGGAAATGGTAACAACACCTCTCTCGTGATCTGTCCTGTGGGTCTGAATGTGCAGTGACTGAACTCTTGCTAGGGGTGACCACTGGAGGTTAGCACCTGGAGGTAAGCAGACTTCCATAGGTAAACTTTTTTTCATGATACATAGTTAAAAATGAAATTAATATAGGGCCAGCTGTAAAAAAGAAAAGGAAAAGGATCCCTTCTCTGTAATGTGCGTCTTCACAGGACTCATTTCCAGGCCTACCTTTTGTATGCTGATTATACATTGCACTTGTTCCATGTTTTTTTTGTTTGTTTTTCCCATAGAATCATGGAATGGTTTGGGCTGGAAGGGACCTTAAAGATCACCCAGTTCCAATTCCAACCCCCTGCTGTGGGCAGGGACACCTTCCCCCAGACCAGGTTGCCCAAAGCCCCATCCCACCTGGCTTTGAACACCTCCAGGGGAGGGGGCAACCACAGCTTCTCTGGGCAAAACAAAGATTTTTCCTTATCACTGAAAAAACACTTTCTAAAAAGCTAACTGCAAAAGCCACTCTCTTGCAATTACCATTTACCTTCATTCCTTACAGTGTTTTCCTGATGCACAGGCAGGCTTAGTCTGAAGAAAACAACAATGAGCAAAGTACATTTCTGAAGACATTAGTTTTAGTATTTTACTGTCCCTAATTTATATTGTGTAAATCTACCATCCTCTCTCCACTGCCACCAACCCTCTGTGTATGTGTTTCTCCTAGGTATATGCTTTGTAGCCACATGCTAGCGAACTTGCCAAGGAGTGCTGTGGAAGCACGTGCCCCGTACGTGAGGAAATGGTGTGTCCTGAGGCACACGGTTGAGACTGGCAGCAGATGGATGGTGTGGTACCGAACAGCAGAGACTTGGCCCTCCATTCCTGTGTGCCTTTTGGAGAGGCTCTTCTCAGAGCTGCTAAATGACATGATCCTGCCAGCAGCTTTAGCTTTCTAAAGATCAGTACAACCTACATATTGACTTCAGAGAAAATGTAGGTTAAGGATATAATGTTCCAAATTGCCTAAGTGGCCAGAGGCTTAGTAGCAAATATGTATGGCCAGTAGCATATAGAAAGGATGGCTTTTTGACTCAAATATTTCTCTAATTACAAAGGAAATTAGGCAAGCAGTTTATTTAGGAGAAGCAGAACCAAAAGGAAAGCTCTCAGCTTTCCCCATGTGTAGTACTGTTTCTCCAGAGAAGCTGTGGTGATCCTGCAAAATTTGACAAGGAGGGTGTAACAAGTCCTTCCCTATTTTCTGGAAATCCCACCCTCTTTCCACATCTTATCTGAAGTTTCTATTTTGCACGTTGGTATTTGTGCAAAGTTTCCAGCAAGACTTCTGTTTTCTGCTGTAAAACTAGCCTGCTAAACTAAATCCATCCTTTGCTTCCTTTTGTTTGGAGCATGATATTTTTCTTCACTTGGCTATTCCCCTGTTGGCTGTTTGTTGCTTCATTTGGCCTGAGATCATTGGGAGGCTAAATAGAGTGGTTTGGCTTTGTTTTCCCCCTTATTTATTTATTTATTTATTATTTATATAATATATATATATATATAATATTTATTTATTTATTTATTTATTTATTTATTTATTTATTTATTTATTTATTCCTTAGCTTAGAAAAGCATCCCAACTGTTAAACTGGTTAATTGCTACAGACCTCTTTTTTTGAGCAGCTCATTATAACTCTTTAGTAAAGTTCATTACGTGTCTATAGGAATGCTGAGAAGAGGTCTGAAGTTCCGTATGTCAGGCAGAGAACCTCTTTTCCACTGTTGTTTTCCTCTTCATCTATGCATCATTTAAAGACATTTGCAAAGCTGATGTTGTCTGACTTCAGCAGTTGATCATGGAAAGGATTATATATCTTTGTATATCTGGGCAAAATATTCTGTAAATGTAGGTAGTGTAAGAACTGTCAGTAACAGAGAAGTGGAAAGAAAACTGACCACTGTTGGTTAAAAATTAACTATTTTGAATTAGATGCACATACAGTACAGATATACACACACATTTTGACATAATTAATGCCTGATTTGGATTCTTAAATTTAGGTCCTTTTTACAGCTCTTAAGAGTTTAGTGCAAGGGATTGCAAATACAGATTCCTGAATTTTCTACCCACGGAAAGGAAGCCTACTTTGTGGCTGGAGAATAAGCAAGTGATAGAAGATCTGGCTGCCAATCCTGATTTTTGTCACTAACTCATTGCATGATCTTGCATAAGGAATCTAGGCTTTCTTTGCCACAATTTCCCTTTCAGAAAAGGGGGAAGGATTTAATAGTTTTAGAGTAAAGCTTCCTTTTACCAACTTTACGTAAATTTTATCTTGGATTCTGGAAACTAGAGCATAAGCTTAAAGATAATAGGATGAAATGGTATTCCTTTTCGCTTCTGAGTCATTAAAGAAAACTCCACTTATTTTAATTCCCCCTTCCAGTAAATTGGGCTAAATACCTCCTTTATTTGAAGCAAAAATTGATATTCTCTGCAACTGCGTCTCCAGAGACCAGGATATTAAGAAATATCAATATCAAAATATCAAATAAGGTTAACGACAAACTGAAAAGGATTGTTAAAAAGGATTTACACTATTTGACTCTCTGCTTTGTCAGGTATTGCAGAAAAAAAGGAAGTATGAATGTATTATGAGAACACCTGCATTGGCCGAGTGGATTTTTTTTATTTTTTTATTTTATTTTTACAAAGGGAGGTTGAGAAGTTGCTAATATCCAAACAAAAAGTAATTTTACTTCACAAATTGATTTCACATTTAAGAGTGATGAAGGCAAGAGGCCAACTGTTCCATAGTATAAAAGACGTGCAAGTATGACATTAAGTATGGTAGAATTTCCCGAAATGCACTGGTTTGGGCCTTTCTTAATTCTCTGGTAATAACCCTTATGGTAGAGAGTAATTTCTTTCTTCATCACTGCTGAACTAGATGTGTTAATTTTTCCACCTGATCTTCTACCACCCTTCATTTCCCTTCTGGTCTTCCTATCACTTCTGGTACATTTGTCCCTATCTTCAATGACCAAATTGTGATTCAGCCATCGAGAACTGTTATACAAAACTCAAACAGATGCCAACAGTCTCTTTTCTTCTGTCCTGGGCTTTGGGATTTTGTTGAAAATCCTCAATTTTACATTTCTCAGTCTATTGATAAGTGTATTTCATTGTCTTCCTAAAACCACATTAGGCTTTTCTTGTCTGCTGATCTGTACTCTATGCTGATCAGGATCCAGTCTTTATTTAAGGTCAATGCAGCGTAGTTGTGGCTTAGGGAGAAGCAGAAAGCTGCAGATGCATGAACTGCAGGGTGTTTTAGTAGGGTGTACTCTGCATCAGCTTGATTATTTTCCCTTATTCAGGTTTACTACTCTGGCTACTTCAACAGAATTCTCTGACAGGTACTAGCATAATATTAGGCGGTTTGAAACTGTTTTGTATCTCAGAGAGCTCACAAAAGGCATGGTGAGACAGATGTTTCCAAAGCAGAAGTAATCATTCTAATTTGTACTAATATTTGATGAGTCCAAAAAAAAACCCCCACATACATGTGGAAGCGTGTCAAGTGCTTTTGCTACAGACTATGCAAATAAAATACCATACAGATTATTAGGCTCTGTGTCAGCCTCGTGACTGGATGCAGTGCAAAAATAGAGCTTGTTGGTGGTTCAGAGTAGGACTTCTGAGATGGAAAGGTGAATCTTTAATGTGCTGTGCTAAAAAAAATGTGAAATTCAGTGTAACAGCGCATCTGTTAGCACCTGCAAGCATGTTTTTCAGCAAGTATTTACTTTGTCTTTTTCTCCAGCACAAAGGAGAAGGATCCTGTAGTCTCAACCTTGGCTAAGCACGGGAGTCTCTGTAAGATGATGAAGGTAGCTTTTTCATTCTGCTGCTATCAGTGAAACAAATCTGCAATGCTTGAATCCATATTTGAACATCCTTGAATTTTAAGAGCTCTTTGGATCTCTAATTTTGATGGTGTACAAAGACTGCAGTATTTAGTCTTTATCAATGCAACAGGAACACTAAAGTAAAAGCTGTGGTCAAATAGACATTACTACAGCCTTTCAAAGAGAGGAAGAGGGGAAAAAATAAAAAAGAAAACCCTCCTTCACTTATAGTATATCATAGATACATGTTAAGCTGCTGCCCAAATATTTATGTTGTGTTCTGAGTTGTTTTGGCTGCCAGGAGGCAAGGAGAGGAGAGGAGCTCACACATCTGGGGCTCTGGGCTCTGGTCTTCACAGTAAGGAGCTTGCAAAGCGGGGGCTGCACCTTGGGCTTGCACCATGCTCGCCTCCGGTCACGATGAAGTTCGGTGTGTGCAAAGAGGGGATGCCAGCTTGGGAGGTTTTACTCTTTGTTCGTGGGGTGGCGTGAAGTTTACAGGCTTTAAAGTGAAAATGGGAGCCCGCTGAAATTAGTCAGTAAAATTTTCACTGACTTAAGAGAGATGAGTGTTTTGGCCCTGAAAGCTTCAGTACAGACTTGATGAGTCCCCCCTGCCCGCATCATAGTTTCCCTAGAAAATAGCTAAAAGCAACCTCGGGCAGACACTAGGTTCAAAATTAAAATTTAATCTGGTTGAACACTGAGTGGGAAACAAGAAGTGAAAACTGTCAACTGTGCCCAGATCCATTCAGATCACTTCTAGGGACAGTTTTGATACCAAATTATCCTTGTTATGCAAATTTCCTCACCAACCGGCTGGTTCCCAGTTATGCATGGGGAGAAGCGGTGGCCACATCTGCTTCCCGTTTTGCCGTTTCAGAGACGAGCCATCTGTTTGGCCTCATCCCGAACAGCCTGCTCGGTGCTGATTAACTTCCTCACCCTGCCAGCCCTGGGCTCACTGTCTGCTGCAAGGTGTAGATTTTTTTTATTTTTTTTTCACTAACTGCTTATAAACCAGAACCTTCACTTCTCTCCCAAGGGACAGGAAGGCGTTGGTTTGTGTGATTTGCAGCCGCCACCCGCGGCAGAAACAGCGGCAGCTGCCCTCTATCACTCACATGCTTCATACGTGTGGTCGGGACAGATAAAATGGGAATTGTTCTGTGACCTGGGACCTTCTTTAAAGCAGTGAGGCCTTACTTTAAATAAATTAACAACCTGTAATGCTAACGGCTGAATTCAGCCAAACTCTCACTGCAATTAATAGGAATCTCTCAGTTTTGGTGCGAGTGCAATTCCAGCCACGCTCGCTGCAGTCCATCTTTCTGTTGAGATGTGATGAACTCCTCTTCTCTGAGGTCTGGCTTTGTAATTCCTACTGCCATCCACCTCATTTTTGGGGAAACTGCTAATTTTTTTTTTATTATTATTATTTTTTTTGATACCCATCTTCTGGCAGCAGTGGCAGGATTTTAGGAATGCGCATGTGCACAGCCTTCAGTGATTTAGTTGAGAATTGTGCATTCAGCAGCCCTGAAATTTTTGGGAAAAATTGGGGAAAAAGAAAAGATGGGCCAAAAATTAAAACTGGGAAACTGTGATCATGGACCTTGTTCAAAAATGAAGATTCCTGTTGGCTTTTACAGGCCAGGTCTCATGGATTTGGATCTTTCTTGATGCATTAGGACCATAAGGCGATCTCACGCACACCATTTTCCTTCCAGGCAGCAGATTGCGTTTCGTGATTGCGGATGCAACCCAGTTGGCCCAGAGCAGAGTAGGATGCCCTTGAGCTTTGACCCACAAGACACAGGGGAACAGATTTTTCAGAAATCAAACACTTTGGTTTTCCAGTCACAACACTTCCAGCTTTCAAATTGCTGCTGCTGAAAGTTTGAAGCTTTCAGTGGGAAACCTTCTCTCCTTCATTTTTGATCAGCTCTGTTTACAAGCTGGCAAAAAAGGTGCAATACTTTCTGTCTGTTGGGAAAGTCAGGAGCATTTTTAAGCACTTTTCCTCAAATAAAGTTTTTTTTTTTTTTTTTTTTCTTTCCTCCCTACCCCCCAAATAATTAGGAATTAGGAAATTGTTTCATTATCACATCTATGTGCTCCAGGTCTGGCTCTGAGTTCTCATTTTGACATCTATGGGAAAAACTTTGAATGTTTTTGTTTATTTCATGATTTTAAAGACGGACTAGAAAGCATTGGTGAGCGAGCACATTTTAACACTGTTTCAATGTTTAGATGTTTTTGATGTTTAGATGGATTGGGAAGCCTAGCTGGGGACTCACAGCTGAAAATGTTCACCCCTGGTTGTTCTGTGTTTGAATCTGTGTAATACTTCATCTCTTTGCACCTACAGCAGTTACTGATGTAATCTAATCAAGCTACAGGAGTAACAAAAATATAAGATGATTGGAAAGAGAGTCTTTGCAACATAATAGATAGTACGGATCTTTAGTTACACAAACTTTCATTTATCTGTGGATGTCTCTACTTAAGTTCAAAGATTTAGTAACTTTGATGGGGAATATTACATTTGGTTTATTTCTGTGATTTATTATTAACAGCCCCTGTTTAATTTGCCAGAGAGTCACCTGCTGAAACAGAAATTTGTAGTTCAGCTCATTTACTGAGAACTGGCTGTGGTGGTGAACAAAAGAATCAGAACATCAGAACATCTACAAGCTTCCTTCTTGTAGAAAAGTAGTGGCAGTTTTTGATGAAAACCTATCACAGTAATTTGAAAAATCTAGATTTTGGGAACCTATAAAAGATTACAATATCATTCATTTTTTTAAATTCTCATTTTGTTTATAATAATACAGTTTTACAAATGGAAATATTTCTAAAACTTTATAAACTATGCTTTTCCTAAACCAGCCAATGATTCTTGTTTGCATTAAATATGTGATGTGAAATTTACTGTGCTGGAATCCGAGGGAACCAGAGACACCCACAGAGAAATCACCTTTGTTATGGTAAATAGTAGAAATAATTCCTCAGTGTTTTATTTTGAATTACCATGGCTCTACATGCAGAAGTAATTGTGTTCGGTAATGGTTTAGCCTTGCTGATGGGAGGAAAGGGTGAGGGACAGCTGGAAGGGAAGAAACCTCCTTGAAGTCAGGCGCTCGAAGCAGCTGCCCAAGTTTTTGTGGCCCGGGGCACTGCAGGTAGGATGTAGCAAGTGTATGGGTTTGACCTTCAGCTGGAAGTGGCCTGATAGGGCTGCTTCAGGTGGCTTGGAGGAGGTGCAGGGTGGTTGAAACAGCGCCACTTTTTTGGCCACAGAGGATGGGTTGGGAGGGCAGCAAGGTCAGCCTCGCTGTGAGGTGAGCTGTGGGTGCAGCAGCAGAGGCTGAGGCTGTGCCTGATGCTTTCCCCTTTGAGCATCACATGGGACCACACATTGCCCACGCATGCAGATGAGCATAACTACTTTGTCTCCTACCAGGAGAGCAACAGAAATGTCCTGGGTTTTGGTGTTTTTTCTTTTTTTCTTTCTTTTTTTTTTTTTTTTAACCACTTTCTCTTCTCTTACAAGATACATCTCACTTTGCAGACATAACTTAATAACATTTCCAATTTTTATGAAATTTGCTTTTTTCTTTTTTTTTAAATACAATGTTCTCAAAGATAAAACAAAGTTACAATAGAAAATCACAGAAAAGAAGTGTGTAAATACAATGTTTCTGTTGGAAAAGGCAGTGCCTGGGGAGGGCTGGGAAGCGGTTCTTTTTCATTTTTTTCAAACAGGTCTAAACTTAAAGCCATTCACCATGTTTATTTTTTTAGGGTTCAGCTAAACCATCTTAGGCTATTGCACCAAAAGCAAAGGAGAGAAAAGGGAGATTATGCTAAACTAGTTTTCTGAGGGCACAGTTTGTTTAGATGTACACACACAACATCCTACTTTCATGTCTTCCCTGCATGTTCATCAATAAAATTATTGAAACACTTGGTTCTAAACAAATGGAAGGTGATTTTGTGCAAAATCCAAACAAAAAACAACCCCAAAAAGCCCCTTCATGAAAGGGAATGTTGTTTGCTCCTGCATTTTGACTATGCCCTCTGATACACTGTATCTTAATATTACTTACTTATACCACTGTACTTTTTAATATACAACATCAACATATTCTGTGATACTATAAATAAGAAAGCTCCAGACCCAGGAAACAAACCCACTGTGACTGACAGTGCATCGTCATGTGATACAAACCATTTTAGATGTATATATATATATACACACACTTATATATGTATATAAAATATTTATGATACACAAAACTTTTGTTAGGGCATGTGCATGTTGAAGAGAAAAGCGACACGGAAAGTCATACACATGCATGTGAGCACACAAATGTTGCAAAGGCAGTGAACCTTGCCAGAAATCAGAAATTGTATTTAAAAGCGGAGTCTAAGGCAGTTTTGAACTCAATTGGAAACTATGCTTGCTGACAAGGTTGAGGAATGTGGCTTTATTTGTATTGTATTTTCATAAAAACAAATAAACAAAATCACCTGAGTAAACTTTTGCCACCCCCATCCCCTATTTTATAGCTTTGTGTGTCTTAAAATGGAGCATTAAAAAAAATATTATAGCATGGGGTGTATAGAGACCTAAGTCTAAGAACAGTGGAAAAGTGGTAGAAGAGTAATAAAAGCAAAGTGACTACGCAAATGATGTTG